TGTAGCCTAGAACTTAAAGCATAATTTAAAAAAAAAAAGGAAAGAAAAAAGAAACAGATCCAGCAGGCAGAAATTAGTAACAATCTAGTTGAATTCAGTATTAATATAAACTGGATACTGACAGAGCAGGCACACCATCACCTCGGACAAACACCGCCACTTTAAGTTCCAGCTCCCTTCTTTGCCTCATGCACTTTAAGGAAATCACTTCTCTTCTAACTACAAGTAGCCAGACAGAGCAGACAGTAAAATACCGATAAGACAGCTCAGCCCCAGAGGGAGGTGAGGGGAAGTCTCTTGGGTAAAGTTTCACTGCCAAACTTCACCCTCACACAACAGGCCCAGTAAAACAGTGGGGCTTGATAATTTAATCAGCACATGGCTTTCCCTTCAGGTGCACTAAGACAGGGAAGCTAAAAGCAGACTCGGGACATGCCTGCAGCTGCAGAAAGATGCATGGGGACAGACACACAACTCTCCCTCCCAGATAAGCACAACACAGACACAGAAGCAGTCCAAGCCTTAATAAACTTTCCCGCCCTGAATCCTTAAAACTCTGTCTGTAAGAGTGAGCCTCTGACCTAACTCGGCCAGAAGGCATCTCTCAGGTTTGTTTTCTCTAAAATAAATCTGTCTTAACTGGCAAGACACCTTTCATGTTTCTCTCCTCTTTATTTAATTCTTACAAATGCAATTGCTATTTATTTGACTTCATCCAACAACAGTAAAATATACATTCTTTTCAGGCTCAATAATCACCAAGATATACCACACTGTGAACCATAAAATACCCTTTAACCAATTTAAAATAACAAATCTTGCCATACGCATTCTTAGACCACAATGAAATCAAAACTTAAAATGAGCAATAGACAGACAAGTGGAAAATCTCTAAATATAGTGAGACAAAAGAACACCTTCTAAATAATGAATGGATCAAAGAAGAAATCTCAAGAGAAATTAATATTTTATTATTAGAGACAGGGTCTCACTGTCACCCAGGCTGGAGTGCAGTGGCATGATCAAAACTAACTGCAGCCTTGAACGCCTGGGCTCAAGCAATCCTCTCACCTCAGCCTCACCAGTGGCTGAAAATACAGGCACATGTCTCCCTGATAACTTTTTTTTTTTTTTTTTTTTGAGACGGAGTCTTGCTTTGTTGCCCAAGCTGGAGTGCAGTGGCACCATCTCGGCTCACTGCAAGCTCCGCCTCCTGGGTTCATGTCATTCTCCTGCCTCAGCCTCCGAGTAGCTGGGACTACAGGCACGCACCACCACGCCCAGCTAATTTTTTTTTTTTTTTTGTATTTTTAGTAGAGACGAGGTTTCACCGTGTTAGCCAGGATGGTCTTGATCTCCTGACCTCGTGATCCGCCCGCGTCGGCCTCCCAAAGTGCTGGGATTACAGGCGTGAGCCACCGCGCCCGGCCTCCCTGATAACTTTTTTAAATGTTCTTGTAGAGACAGGGTCTTGCTATAGGTGCTCAAGCTGATCTCAAACTCCTAGCCTCAAGTAATCCTCCTGCCTTGGCCTCCCAAATCTCAGCCTCCCTGGCTGAGATTACAAGTGTGAGCCACCATGCTGGGTCTAACAAATATTTTCACTAAATAAAAATGAAAATAAAAACACAACGTATCAAAATGTGTAGAATACAGCAAAAGCATGGCTTAGAAGAAAATTTATGGCATCAAATGCATATATTAGAAAATAAGAATGATCTAAAATAAAGAAAAAAATGAGCAGATTAAATCCAAAGTAAGAAGAAAATAAATTATTGCAGAAATCAATGAAATGGAAAACACAAAAATCAAGAGAATATTATCAACAACAAAGCTGGTTCTTTTAAAAGGCCAATAAAATTAAAAAGCCTATAGCCAGGTTAAGAAAAAAAGTAGAAACTAATAATATCATAAATGAGGGCCAGGAGTAGTGGCTCAAGCTTGTAATCCCAGCACTTTGGGAGGCCGAGACGGGCAGATCACAAGGTCGGGAGATCGAGACCATCCTGGCTAACACAGTGAGACCCCATCTCTACTAAAAAATACATAAAATTAGCCGGGCAAGGTGGCAGGCGCCTGTGGTCCCAGCTACTCGGGAGGCTGAGGCAGGAGACTGGTGTAAACCCGGGAGGCAGAGCTTGCAGTGAGCTGAGATCGCGCCACTGCACTCCAGCCTGGGCGACAGAGCAAGACTCCATCTCAAAAAAAAAATAATAATAATAATATAAATGAAAAAGGGGATGCCACCACACATCCCGTGGATGTTAAATGGATAAGGAAATACTCTGAACAACTCTGTGCATACATCTGATCATCCAGTTCAAATGGGCTGCTTCCTTGAAAGACACAATTTACTGAAACTCACACAAGAAGAAACACACAGGCCGGGCATGGTGGCTCACACCTGTAATCCCAGCACTTTGGGAGGCCGAGGCGGGCGGATCACAAGGTCAGGAGAATGGAGACCATGGTGAAACCCCGTCTCTACTAAAAATACAAAAAATTAGCCGGGCGTGGCGTCGGGCGCCTGTAATCCCAGCCACTCAGGAGGCTGAGGCAGGAGAATGGTGTGAACCCGGGAAGTGGAGCTTGCAGTGAGCCGAGATCACGCCACTGCACTCCAGTCTGGGCAACAGAGCAAGACTCCATCTCAAAAAAAAAAAAAAAGAAGAAACACACAATCCGAATAACCCATTTTTTAATAACCTTCAGAACAGAAAGTACCTGACCCAGATATATTCACTGGTAAACTGACTAAATATTTCAGGAAGAAATTATACCCATTCCCCACAATCTATTTCAGAGGATAGAAGCTGTTGAAATACTTCCTAGTTCATTCTGTGAGGCCAGCATTATTCCAATGACATTTCAAAATAGAAAATCACAGACCATGATCTGTCATAAAAATACATATAAAAATCCTCAAAAACATTGGCACATCAAATCCAACAATATATAGAAAGAATCATACACCATCACCAAGTGAGATTTATTCTGGGGATACCAGGCTGGTTCAACATTTGAACATCAATTAATGTAATTCATTATATCAAGAGGCTGAAAAGGAAAAATCACATGATCCGGTGCAGAAAAAGCAGTTGACAAAATCCAGCATTCATTCATGATAAAAACTCTCAATAAGCTAAGAGGGGAACTTCCTGAAATTAATAAAGAATATCTACACAAAACTACAGTGAACATAATACTTAATAATCAGAAATTCAAAGCTTTTCCACAATATCAGGAGGAAGAAAAAGATCTACTTTCTCATCACCCCTTTCAATATCATACTGAAAATACTAGCGAATGCCATCAGGCAAGAAAATATAATCAAAGGCATACAGATTGGGAAGGAATAAATAAAACTTTGTTCACAGACAACAGGATTGTCTACGCAGAAAATCTTAAAAAAAAAAAAAAAAGAAAAGAAAAAAGACCAAACCAAAAAAAACCCCCTCCTGGAACTGAAAAGCAAGATCACAGCACACAAGGTTAAAGGAGAAAGCTAACTGCTTTCCAACGCACCAGCAACAGCCAAGTGCAGTTTGCTATGAAAAACACAGTGCTACTTACATTTAGCACCCAAAAGATGAAATACTTACGTATAAATTTAACAAATGTAACAAGATCTATATGAGGAATAGTACAAAACCTTAATGAACAAAATACAAGTAAACCTGATTCTAAAGTTCACATGGAGAAGCAAAAGACCAAGAATAGTCAATTACTGAAGAACAAAGTTGGAAGACTAACACTACCTAACTTTAAGCCTTATTATATAGATTCACTGTAGGCAAACATAACAATGGAACAGAATAAAGAGCCCCAAAATATACCCACATAAATACAGTAAACTGATGCAATAAAGCAGAGTTGCTGTTTTCAACAAATGATGTGGGGACAACTAGAAATCCACATTTAATAAAAAACAAAAAACAAAAAACTGAATCTAGACATAGATCTTATGCCCATCACAAAAATTAACTCAAAATGGATCATAGACTTCAATGTAAAATGCAAAAGTTAAAAACTGTAGAAAACAACAAAGGGAAAAACCTAGATGATCCTGGGAAAGGTAATGACTTTTTAGATATAACACCAATGTCAAGATCCACTTTAAAATGATTCATAAACAAGACTTCATTAAAATTGAAAACTTCTGTTCTGCAAAAGCCAATGTCACAAAAATGAGAAGAAAAGCCACAGACTGGGAGAAAATATCTGCAAAAGACATATCTTGGTAAAGAGACTGTTACACAAAACATTCCAAAAACACTGAAACCTCTACAGTAAGAAAACCACTAAATAAAACAGACCAAAGACCTTAACAGATACCTCACCAATGATGAGAAACATACAGGAAATAAACACATAAAAGAATGCAGTATGTTCTGTAACATTAGGGTAACATATTAAAACAACGAAATACCAAGATACCGCTACATATCTAGTAGAATGGCCAAAATTTGGAGCACTGACAACAACTGACAGTGAGAATGTGAAGCAACAGGAACTCTGCTTCACAGTGTGGAAATGCAAAATAGTATAGTCACTCAGTTGGAGGACAATTTGGTTGTTCTTACAAAAGTAAACACATTCTTACCATATGATCCAGCAACTGCACCTCTTGGTATTTACCCAAAGGAGGTGAAAATAAATGCTAGCATAAAAACCTGTAAACAGGGATTTATAGCAGCTTTATTCAAAATAGCTAAAATTTGGAAGCAACCAAGATGCCCTTGAGTAAGTGAATGGATAAACTATGGTATAATGGAACATAATTCAGCACTAAAAAGAAATGGGCTATCTTGTCCTCAAAAGAAGGAACCTTAAATGCATATTACTAAGTAAAAGAAGGCAGTCTGAAAAGGCTACTTACTATATAACTGCAACTATGTAACATTCTGCAAAATGATGGAGATGGTTTGCAAGGTTAGGGATGATAAACAATAAACAGGAAGAGCAGGGATGGCTTTTAGAACAAAGAAAGTGTCCTGTGGGGTACTGTAAGGCTGGATACATGTCATTAAACTTTACTCAAACCCATAGCATGTAAAACCACAAGAGTAAACCCTAATGCAAACTATGGCCTTTGGACAACTATGATGTCTCAGTGTAGGTTCCTCATTTTAACAAATGTACTACTATGGTGGGCGGAGGTGTTGAAAAGGGCGAAGGCTACATATATATGTGGATCAGGGTATATGGGAAATCTACGTACTTCCTAATTCTGCTGTGAAATTAAAACTGCCTTAACAGAGTATATTTATTTTCAAAAAGAATCTAACCATCTAAAAACGTTTTCAATAACAAAAATTAAACCAATATTAAAAACCACTTCCCCATTTGTAATAAGAACTCTCAATAACAATGAATGCATAAAGAAAATGTGGTCTATACACGCAATGAAATATTACTCAGCCTTAAAAAGGAAGAAAATCTTGCCATTTGCAAAAACATGCACATACCAGAAAGATATTGTGCTAAGTGAAGAAATAAGCCAAACAGGAACAAAGTACTACATAATCCCATCTGGATGTATGCAATAGTCTGGATGTATGTATTCCCCTCAAATTCCTATGTTGAAATCTAATCACCAAGGTGACAGTACTGTAAGGTGAGGCCTCCAGGGAGTGATGAGGTGAGGGCTCTTCCCTCTTGAATGGGCTGGGAGTGCATTCATTCTCCATCACTCTTTTGCCTCCACTATGTACAGATACAGGAAGAAGTCTCTCATCAGGCACCAGATGACAGTGCCTTGATCTTGGACTTCCCAGCCTCCAGAACTGTTAAGAACAAATTTCTGTTCTTTATTAATTACCAAGTCTGAAGTATTTTGTTGCTCCAGCACAAATTAAGCTATATTTTCTGTACAGCCTGTGGAACTCCATGTACATAAAAATGTGAAACAGTTAAACTTACAAAAACATAGAGCTGAATCGTGGTTACCAAGGGCTGAGGGGGAAGGGTAACTGGGGAGGTATTGGTCACAGGGTATAAGTTTTAGTTATGCAACAGGTAAGTTCTAAATATCAAATCTACAGACCAATGCATGTAGCTAATACTGAACTGCATATTTAAAAATCTGTTAAGAGGATGGTATGGTTTCGATTTGTTTACTTGTCCAAAGCTCATGTCCAATTGTAAGCCTCAAGGCTGGAGGTGGGGCCTGGTGGGAGGTGACTGGATCAGGGGGCAGACTTGCCCCTTGCTGTTCTTGTGATAGTAAATTCTCATGAGATCTGGTTGTTAAAAGTGTACAGCACCTCCCCCTTCACCACCCACTTCCTCCTGCTCCAGACACAGAGGTCGTGCCTGCTTCCCCTTCATCCTACACCACGACTGTAAGTCTCCTAAGGCCTCCCCAGCCATGCTTCCTGTACAGCCTGTGGAACTGTCAGCCAATTAAACCTCTTTGCTTCCTGTACAGCCTGTGGAACTGTCAGCCAATTAAACCTCTTCGCTTTATAAATTACCCAGTCCCAGGTAGTTTTTTATAGCAATGGGAGAACGGACTTATACAGAGAATGTATCTTATCTCAGATGGTTGTATCCCAAAAGGGGCGGGGAGAGGGGAGGAAGAAACTCATGGAGGCAAAGGTTGTTTATCGCACTGTTTGTGGTGATGGTTCCATGGGTGAAAACTTTACAGGTAAGTATATTTTGCACGTGGGAGGAATGTAAATAATTTGTAGCCAGAGGGAAAACTGGTTTACTAAAGACTGCTACAGATTCTCACTACTCCTCTTATTGAAAGGTAGAAGCTAATTACTCTCTAATCTAATACCGTATGTAAAGGAAGAGAGAAGGATGTAACTTTTATTTTGGATTTGTTAAGCCTGAGGTGCCTTTCAGATAGCTACAAAGAATCATTCAATGGAGAGTTGAACCTGTGATCTAGAGCAGCGATCCCCAACCTTTCTGGCACCAGGTTTTGTGAAAGACAATTTTTCCATATACCAGGGTGTGACCCCTTACATGGTTTTGGATGAAACGGTTCGTCAGGCATTAGATTCTCATAAGGAGCAGGGAACCTAGATCCCTCACATGCATAGTTCACATTAGGGTTCATGCTCCTATGAGAATTTAATGCTGTCATTCATCTGACAGGAGGCAGAGCACAGGCAGTAATTCTTGCTTGCCTGCCATTCACCTGCTGTGCAGCCCAGTTCCTCACAGGTCACAGACTGGTACCAGTTCATGGCCTGGGGATGGGGATCCCTGGTCTAAAGGCTGGAGAAGTCCAAGCTGGAGAGAAACACAACTGCTACACCAGAGAGCAGAACTGGTAAAAAAAAAAAAAAACAAACAAACAACAACAAAAGAACTGCACAGTGGGATGGATGGGGAATTGGATCAAACAATTGGACAAGCTATGTAAAGGAGAAGGAGAATAATTCAGGAAAAAAAAGACAAGCAGCATCAGTGAGGTCATGATAGAAACTAACACAGAAGAATTTCCAGGAGAAAAACCATGAACGATAATTTGAAATGCAGGAGTCCCCCCTTATTCACGGGGGATACACTGCAGGTCCCCTAGCAGATCCCTGAAACTGTATAGTACCAAACCTTATATACACTATGGTTTTTCCTATAGATACATACCCTTGACAGTTTAATTTATAAATTAGGCACAGTATGATACTAACAACAATAAAATGGAACAATTATAACAATATACTATACTAAAACTTATAGGAATGTGGTCTCTCAAAATATCTTATTCTACTGTATTCAACATATTCAAAATATCAAAATACTCAAGATATTCAAAATATCTTATTGTCTTTTCCGTCTGCAGTTGACTATGGGTAACTGAAACCACAGAGAGCAAAACTGTGGATAAGGGGGATAACTGTATGGCACAAGATTCAAGTAAGGCAGACTAGAGAATAGCCAATGGATTTGCATATAATTTAGGTTAATGGTGAGCATCAGAATAAACGAATTAAGACTACACTGAATGAAAGCGCAAGTGAGCAGTGGAAATATTTGTCAGAAAATACAACTGTGAACAATCTGCTACAAATTCTCCATGTACAGATGAATTGACAGAAACATATGGGGGGTTAGTTAAGGACCTGTGGTCAACTCAATCCTCCAGATGTTCTAGGTTTTAGCCATGAATCAAGTAGGGCCTTCCAACAGCTGTCTGAGATCACACTGTTTCAGCAACTCCAGAAAAACCTCATTACGGAGCTGTCTGAGATCACACAGTTTCAGCAACTCCAGAAAAACCTCATTACGGGAGTTGTGCTTTAGCACTAAGTGACTATTTCTACTGCAAAATGCTAATAGTGTTTATTTCCAGGTTGGTAGTAAAAAAACTTTTCACTATATCATCTCTGTGACCAATGCAGTCAATGTTCCAGACTTTAGTGACAGCAAGTCTTCCCATCCCATGAGAATGTAGCGCGTACTTTCCAGGTTCCATTCCAATCACGTAACAAATGTGACTGCCTTGTTGTTGCAGCATCAGAAAGACCACAGACATACCTGTACTCACGTTCCATGGCTTACAACCTGCATATGTCTACAAGCCAGCATTCTTTTATTTATGTGCATTTCCTTTAACCTGAATTTTACTTATTTCTATTTTTTTCATTTTAATCCATGGACTCCATAAAGGTAAAAAATGCAATGTAAAACAAAGTGAGGAATATATAAACAAATAACTCACCAGAGATTTATTCACTGTTTGTTGATTGTGGAAACACACAGAGCACTCTGGAAGCATAGCTGGGAGAACAGTCGAATGGAGTGGGTTGAGGAGAGAACTGGTGTGGCTTGGTCCTAGATTCTCCTGCCCAAAATGCTCTACACCATAGCTGGAAAAGACTAAAGCAACAACAAAACCTCCCTGTGACAGAACAGTCATTCATGCCTCAATAAGGGACAACAAATATCCCACTGAAGATGTACCCACAAGTACATTAACTAGTAGAGATACATACAATTTATTTTTGGATTAATGAAAACATGTATTACCTACTGATTTAGGAACAATTAATTTGCCCAAAGAAACAATGTAATAATTTAAACCAAAGAAATATACACTTAGTCTTCAATGAAATTAATATTGTAGAAATATAATTCAGCCACATTAACTATTTCACTACTAATATGGAGATTCTACACGATTCCATATAGGTGTTTCCACTAGAACACATCTTGCTTTTATACCTCTGCATCATTGAAAGGATGCATCTTTTATATACCTACGCATCATTGAAAGGATGCATCTTGCAACCCAACATTTTTTGCCCACAATTATATAGGGGGGAAAATGTACATATTGTATATTTCTTGGGATATACTGTTTTAGTAATGTTTCCTAATGACATGTCTCCCTGTATCTCAGACCTCATAGAGTATGCTCTGATAACGAACAGGGCTCTGCCATTTGACTTGCTTTTGCCAATGGGACATGGAAAATATGATGAAAATATAGGCTGGAAAAGTACTTGCCCACTGGTGCTTGCCTTCTCGGACAAGGGTCAGCATGAACCATCAGACATGTGAGTGAAGGCACCAGATGACTAAAGCCTCATCTGTGATCCAGACAACATTAGCAAAGGAAATGCCCAGGTGAACACACGCCAAAATGTGAATCAACAGAACTTCTATCAAATAAAACGGTCACTTCTTTTTAAGCCAGTGAGTTTCGTTGGTTCTTCAGACAGAAAATAGTAACTGATACACCTAAGCCACCAGAACTCAATGTTTTTAAGAAAATCATGTGAAGGAGATAATGTGAAATTACTTGTCAAGTACAATCACTAGAACATCACAACCTCATGTCGAAGTTTTGCAAATCACAATGCCAACTTGATGCATATCAGTGAGACTGCTGGTGCTAAGAGACCATGTGAATCGTAAAAAGCAACTCTTTGCATATTAGTAAATTGTGTTTTAAGGTTCTTCACATCATAAAAATGTCTGTTGACTTTAAAAAAACATAATACACAAAAAGGATCTCTTATAAGTAAGCATTGTACTGTATTTTACTTACATTTTAAGACACTGGTTTAGAACAGAAGTGAGACATGGTCTAATCTTCCCTCTTTAAATATGTAAAATATGCTATTATTTTCCTACAGAATTTATGATTTCCAAGAACAGATTACTGACACTAAGTGGGAAACACTTGTGTTATTTGCCCTTGAGGTCACATAATTCACAGGAAGAGTTGGGGATAACAAGGAACAGAGATGGTTAACGGAATGTTTCTGCTTGGTCGGTTGGTTGGTCGGTTTTGAGACAGAGTCTCATTCTCTCACCCAGGCTGGAGTGCAGTGGCACAACCACAGCTCACTGTAGCTTCGCCCTCCTGGGCTCAGGTGATCTTCCCACCTCAGCCCCCCAAGTAGTTGGGGCCACAAGTGCATGCCACCACAACCAGCTAATTTTTTTTCTTCTTGTAAACACATAGGGTCTCCCTATATGGCCAAGGCTAGTCTCAAACTCCTGTGCACAAGCGATCCTCCTGTCTTGGCCTCCCAAAGTGCTATGATTACAGCTGTGAGACACTATGCCCGGCAAGGGAAAGTACTTTATTATTATTTTTTCCAGGGGGAGGGGTGGGCAGGCACAGAGGGGCTGAGAAAGTACTTTAAAGCAATGTTTGTTCTTAGTTGACTTCAGTGTCAACAAAAATCTAAAAAAAAAAAAGAAAAAAAAAACTTTTGACTTAATTGGAGCAAAATGAATAACACTAGCCAAAAAGTCAGGAAGCATAACATCTGCATATCATGTGGCCCCGGCAAGTCACAGCTCCTCAAAGCCAAATTTTTTTCATCTTTCTCATAAGGTGGAAATGGTTTGGCAAAGCCTTACCGAACTGCCAGGAAGAGCTACCAAGATAGCGGGAGCTTCGGTATATCACTGGACGCTAAATTTCGTGACAGACTTTTTTTTTTTTTTTTTTTTGAGAGACAGAGTCTCGCTCTGTTGCCCACGCTAGAGCAGGGTGGCACAACCTCAGCTCACTGGAACCTCCACCTCCCGGGTTCAAGTGATTCTCTTGCCTCAGTTTCCCAAGTAGCTGGGACTATACAGGTGTGCGCCACCACGCCCAGCTAATTTTCGTATTTTTTAGAAGAGACAAGGTTTCACAAAATGTTGGCCAGGCTGGTGTCGAACTCCCGACTTCAGGTGATCCTCCCGCCTTGACCTAGACTACTTTTAAGAAAGTTCAGCCACTGGAAACAATGAGAAAAGATTGAACGAATTAAAGTGTGTTTACAGAGTACTCCAGACAAATCCTCTCAGGTATAACAGGTTATTTTTCCACCCAGGACAACACTATTAAGTCCCCTCCAGTAAGTAACATCTCTTTGGCCCTTGCCTGTCACCCGCAGCCAAACTCCCCTCTTCCTTCTGAATGTTGGTCCAAACCTTCCGCTACCACCCAGTATTTGAGAGCTACTGGATAAGGTATTATCAACCAAATCTGGACCACTCTGGGGAGTGGGAAAATAATTGCTTGGGTCATACAAACTGGAATCTTCGCCTGTGACACTCCCCTGCTTTGAAGCACCAGTGAGAGGGTTAGTCCAGAGAGGTGTTCTTTTAGGTGGGATTCCTAAAAGGCGCCCTCCTCCAAACTTTATTATAAAGAAAACAGGACCATCATCTGGCACCCGCAACTTCCCTAGAAACCAGATCTTGTATAAACTCCTATAAACTAAAGCGGGGATGGGATGCGTAGGAAGGGGACACAAGCAGGATCTTCACTTGCTGAAAAGACACCGGGAAACCCCACTAATACCCTCGCCAGGTAGTAGGACGGTGTGCACGAGCTTCGTACTCCTCATCTGGGAATGAGGGGCATCTTCCTAGAACTGTCCGTATGCTGACCTTACAGGGGGGTGCACGGAATGCCGCACAAGGTCCATGCGGTGCCGGAGCGCAGCCTCCCCGCAGACCTCCCAGGTAGGGGCGGCCTGCAGACCCCGTCCCCGCGCCACCGGCTTCGCCCACCCGCTCCGGCGCCTCTGGAACTGGCTTCAGGGCCGGGATCCCACGCCCGCCCTCCCAGCAGCGCCGCCCTTTTAGCCCCAGCGCTACTCCGCCGCCCGCACCTGCGCGTCAGGCCCCGCCCCCCCGAGATGTGCCCACGCCTCTGCTCCCACCAACTGGGGCACGTCGGCCCCGCCTCCCTATGGTGCCTCCAAGCCCGCTGTCTCCGGTTTCATCCTACCACCAACCTGCAGGGATGAACACCCCAACCCCGGAGCTTCCAGAGAAGCCTCTTGACGGCAGCAGGAGCCGCGTTTCTCTGGCGGAAGATGGTGGCGTGGGCGGGGCGGCGCATGCGCAAAGGCCATCCGGAAGAGCCCTTCCCACCGTCCAGTGCTGGTGACGTCATAGGAAGCCGCGACGGCATTTCCCACAAGCCACTGCGGTGCCGAGGCGGGAAATTCTGTTCCAAGCCGGAGCCGAGGACGGATGGGGGTTGGCGTCTCCCCGCCTGACAGACGTGGAATCTGGTTAATAAATCCTGGTTTGACAACCAGGCACATTGTGGGAATATTGGGAAAATTCGAATGCGGCCAACTGGTCAATTATATTAGCAAGTAATCTTGCTTCTTTTTTACTTCTAAGTGTTGCTGTTACAGAAAAACCTTTTTTTTTTTTTT